ATTTCTGTATTTGAATTTGATTTGAGATTAAATATTTGATCAAATCAAATCAAATCAAATCGAATTGCGGAACCCTATTTTTAACCTTTACACTAGCACTCTCAATTTGTGTAGAAGTTGAACTATGTTTTATTGAATTCCTTTTTCTCATTTCTATATTGTTATTATGTCTTTTAGAGATATATTGGACATTTTTGCTTGTTATTCTTAGGTTATCAATGCATCGTTTTAGATGTTCTTGATAATGAATTATGTGTAAATGTGTCTTGATTATTTTTTTAAAAAATAAACATTCGCAGTAAAATTTAACGATCATATAAATGATTTCAATCGGCAGTGGAATCATGGCTCATCAATATATTTTTTAACAAGCGGCTATTACTTTTATATGATTTGTTCATCGTTTAACTAATAATATTTTATTTTACTTTCCCAAATGTCTAAGACGTATTTTCTCAAAAAGTAAATAATTTGATTACCATTTTTGTTAAAATTTGATTGGCATTTTTGTAGAAATTTCGATTACCCAAAATGGTTTGATTTACTGTCAGAGCAATTTAGAAATTTTTTTTTGCAATTTATCTAAGCTATAAAAGAACATGTAAATTTTCTTAATGTGAGCCTCATCAAATCTGTAGATTTGATACCCAAAAACAAGTCATTCTTAAAAAAAATAATAATAAATATTTTGAATTTATTAACTATTCATTATTCAATATAAAATATATGAGAAAAAATATTTTAAACCATATTTAACAGATACTATTAAGAAACATATTAGGTTTAAACACCATGATATTTGGGAATTATATAATTCCACAACTACAGATTTCATGATTCCCAGAATTCATCCTATCATAGCAACCACAGATTCTATGACTCCTAGAATCCATCATAGTTAATAAAAAGCCACAAATTGTTATTGAGGATGTTGTATTTAATATAGGTTTGATCAGATATATTACAAAGAAGATGAGAATAAAAATAATTAATTAACTCATATGAGCAATTATTATTGAGCTATTCAGTCATAATTTTGACTGAATAGATTTTTAGCTATACATGATTGATTAATAATAACAACTCTGGAAAAAGTAAGATGGCTATGCCTTTTATTTAGTGAATATGAGATTTTGAAGTTATGCTATCTCAGAATTTATTTTGGAATATTTCTTTTCATGAGAAATACAAGGATGAATTCTATTTCCAATGAAAACTGAGCTGGTCTGCAAGTTACATTTTGGTGAAGTTAGCTGCTACGTGAGATAAATAGAAATCTCTTGCTAACTATTTTTTTTCTTTATTTTTTTATTAAACGTAATTTATATTTTTTTTGAAGAAATATTAAAGGTAAGAGGCTCTAACCATGCATCATCTGGTTATTCATTTTTCTCACTTTGTACTAACCTTACTCCTCCTATCCGGTTGGTAAATCTAAATTACTCTTGTGTGCTATCTTCCTCACGGTGACTGGCCACAAGCATGTTTTCTATATGATATCACTTGATATTAGGGTTTTATGCGGTTCATGTCAGTCGCAAGCCAGGTGTATACACCACTTGGAATAAGTGTAAAAAACAGATAGATGGTTACTCTGGTGCTTTGTATAAGAAATTCTTTTCAAAGCAGCAAGCTGAAGAATTTATCAAGATAATCGATCCACATAGTATCTTAAATATATGAACTGATGGATGTTGTAATAATTTTAAAACAATTAATGGGTGAAAATCGTATTTAGGTTCTTTAAATTCAACAGCCAGAATTGGTATATTCTTCGCTGATGATAACTCATACAATTTATCAGAACATTTGCCTGGTCTGCAACAAACAAATAATTGTGCTGAGTTATACGCAGTAATTCGTGCTCTGGAAGTAACTGTGTCTTATCTCGATTTGCTTATCAATACTGATAGCACATACGTGATTCAATCCTATGACGTGTACTCGCCCAAGGCTAATTGTGATCTAGTAAACCAGATGAACAAGGTTATTCGAACATGAACAGGTAAGACATATTTCAACTGGGTGAAAGATTATAGCAGTATCTATGAGAATGCCCAGGCAGATTGTCTTGCCTATCTTGGTTTGCAAAAACTATATGTGCAATTCACCCCAGTATATATTTTGAAGAAAACTATCGATACCTATTTTTCTGGAGTAGAGAAAAAATCTGATAATTCCATAAGTATAACCGATTTGTATATCGAAAAGTTTATTCGTATTCTTCAAATATTAAAGCAAGATCGGGATAAGCAAAAGCTAGTCATATCCACAAAAAATAAAAATATCTTTTTGATATTGGCCAAAAATCATATCAAGCGATAGCTTCAAAATAATTGGTTTAGTACCGATAAGTGGCAGAAACTCAAAGCTCCCAAGGATATCTGTCTTCAAATCAATGAGCATATCATAGGTAGGAAAAATATGATCAAATGCATTTATCGAAACAAATCTAAACACTTCTTAAAGATACTTAACATATAATATGTAATTACACTCTTCTTTATAGTGTAAATTTATTTGAAAGATAGTAACAAGAGATTTATTTTTGAAGTATTGTACCCTGGGATTATGTGAGAAAATATTCAGTTTAAGAATGCGTCAATTTACGATCTACACAAATATAATATAGCTATCGAATAATGACAAATATTTTTTCAGTCAATAAATAAACTTTAATTTTTTTTAATACGATGCCTGGTTTAAATTGTCTACTTATTTTTTTTTATCTCTTGCCTTTAACCCATGATTGCAAACTCTAATCAAACTTTGGTGTTAGCGATCTGTACAATGGATCGCCATCATCAAAGTTTGACTGAAAACTTTGACAGCATTGATTGAAAATGTTGATAACATGCTATAACATGGTGTGGCGAGATGGCGTCTGATCGTGATACTGGCTAAGTTTCAGAGTGAGCCGATCAGGCTCGCCACTGCTATTGGTATACAGCAATTGTTTTTTTTCTTGTGATTTAGTTCAGACTATGAGAAAAATAGCATACAAGGGTAATTTAGGTTTACCAACCAGATAAGAGCAAATAATTCATACGCACGTTCGCTACTAATTTCGTGGCAAGATTGGGTCAAGCTCCTATAGTGTAGGAGGTACTACAAATGACATAAGAACAATAAATGCATGATTTGATGATAATAATATAAATTCTGAGTTACAAATTTATTTATAAATAGATATGTTATTTTTTATATAAATAAACTAAATAATGTCTAAAATGAAAAATATAAAAAAAGTATATTGAAAAATGTAAGAATTAGTTTTTTTTTATAACTAATCAACAAAATATTTTATCACTAATATTAAATTATTACAAAAAAAATCGAACTCTTTCCGCTGATCACTGTAACCAAAATTGGAGCTAAGGAAAAAATTAAAAATTAGACACAATCATACTAAGACAACAACAGAAGTAGTCTTAAGGAAAAAGATCAAGCAAGGAAAATTAATGATAGTTACTTGGGAGAGTCT